TTTTACAGAGGTAATTTAAACACATGCAAAGCAAATATTTGTTATTTTGGATAGTAAAACTATAAAAACAGACTAGATACATAGAAGATTGTCATAGTGGCTACCTCTTGACTGGAGGAAGCGGTAACGGGGGGGGGTCAGAAGTACAGATGGAAGAGGGGGAATAGGACTGGGGCAGAATACTAAAGACTCCAACATTAACTATAATGGCTGAAACTTTTTAAATATGTTTTTATTGACTTTTTAGAGAGAGAGGATTGGACAGTAAAATAGAAACATCGATGTGAGAGAGACACATCCTCTGTTGGGGATTGAGCTTGCAACCCAGGCACGTGCCCCCAACTGGGAATCGAACTGGGAGCTCGCAGACCATGGGTTGACGTTTAATTCACTGAGCCACATGGCTGGGCCTGAAATTTTTTTTTCATCCAAACAACTAAACTATTAACACTTGTTTTAGGTGGCACTATGTGGCCTCTTATTATGTTATCCTCCGTGTTATTCTGTAATTTGCTATTATTATTATTATTATTATTACAGTACTTATAATGCAAAAAATTGCTTTAAAACATAAAATAGCAAAGAATAGACTTCCGGCCCTGGCCGGTTTGGCTCAGCGGTTAGAGCGTCGGCCTGCAGTCCTGAGAGGCCCGGGTTCAGTTCCCGCTAAGGGCACGTACCTCGGTTGCAGTTTGTCCCCAGCCCTGGTCGGTTGTGTGGGTGGAAACCACTCGATGTGTTCCTTTCACATCGATGTTTCTCTCTCTCTCTCTCTCTCTCTCTCTCTCTCTCTCTCTCTCTCTCTCTCTCTCTCCCACTCTACCTGAACAAAAAATGGAAAAATGTCCTCGGGTGAGGATTAAAAAAAAAAAAAGAAAAAGAATAGACTTCCGGTCAAGATGGCAGCGTAGGTAAACACAGTATCGCGTCCTCCCACAACCACATCAAAGTTACAACTAAACTACAGAACAACCATCATTCAAAACCGCCTGAAATCAAGCTGAATGGAAGTCCTACAACTACGGTATTAAAGCAGCAACCACATCCAGACTGGTAGGAGGGGCGGAGGCTATGGGCTGGTCCCACACCCACGTGTGGCGGATAAAAATCAGGAGGACACCTCGGCTGGGAAGGTCCTTCCTGAGGACTGAGGGGTCCCTGTCCCACACCAGGTGCCCCGCTCAGGGTTCCAGTGCCAGGAAGAGAAGTCCCCATAATTCTGGCTGGAAAACCAGCAGGAACTAAGGCTCAGGGAAGCTGACGCAGCTGGAGCCCTAGGCAGCTCCTTAAAGGGCCCGCGCACGGACTTATCGAATTCTCTCCCTCTAAGCTCGGAGGGGAGGCAGCTCGAGGGGCACCAGAGACATACAGGGAAGGAATGAGCTGTGTGGCACCGGAGCGAGGGCTGGAGAGGGGACTTTCTCCGGGACAAAAGTGCTGTCAGAGGCCTTTGTTCCTTTAGTGAGCCCTTCCCTAGGGCAGGCAGACAGTCCCCATACCTGGGACTCCAGCAACCTGGTTCACACTGGTAGCCCCGCCCTGGTGACTCCCTGAGGCCCCGCCCCACCCAACTTTCAGGCCCACCCAAGCTGTTGCCACTTGCTTAACCATAGGATTGGCTTGTCCTGAATCCTGCTTCAGGTTTTTCCTAAATTCTTTCAAACAAGCAGCATCTGGTCTCAGATAGCCCCATACCTCTTGTTAAGTAATACACAGAAACAAACAGAGAGGCAGCCAAAATGAGACAAAGAAGCAGGTCCCAAATGAAAGAACAGAAAAAAACCCCAAGAAAAGAACTAAGCAAAATGGAGATAAGCAACCTAACAGATAGTGAGTTTGAAATACTGCTTACAAGGATGCTTAACGAACTTAGTGAGGGCCTCAACAGCATAAAAAAGGACCAGTCAGAAATGATGGATGCACAGTCAGAAATGAAGGAGGCATTAACTGAAATAAAGAATAATTTACACAGATTCAATAGTAGAGTATGTAAATCCAAGAAGCAAACCATCAATTTGGAATATAAGGAAGGAAAAAACACCCAATCAGAACAGCAAAAAGAAAAAAGAATCCAAAAAAAAATGAGAATAGTGTAAGGAGCCTCTGGGACAACTTCAAGAGTGCCAACATTCGCATCTTGGGGGTGCCGGAAGGAGAAGAGCAAGAACAAGAAATTGAAAACATGTTTGAAACAATAATGGCAGAAAACTTTCCTAACTTGGTGAAGGAAACAGACATACAAGTCCAGGAAGCACAGAGAGTCCCAAACAAGATGAACCCCAAGAGGCCCACACCAAGACACATCATCATCAAAATGCAAAAGGTTCAAGACAAAGAGAGAATCTTAAAAGCAGCAAGAGAAAAGCAGCTAGTTACCTACAAGGGAGTTCCCATAAGGCTATCACCTGATTTCTCAAAAGAAACTTTGCAGGCCAGAAGGGAGTGGCAAGAAATGTTCCGAGTGATGAAAAGCAAGAACCTACAACCAAGATTACTCTATCCTACAAAGCTGTCATTTAGAATCCATGGCCATATAAAGACTTTCCCAGACAAGAAAAAGTTAAAGGAGTTCATCACCACCAAACCATTATTATATGAAATGATAAAGTGTCTTTTTGAAGAAAAAGATAAAATGTATGAACAAACAAAATGGCAATGAATACATATCTATCGACAATGGAATCTACAAACAAAATGAACAGGTAGAATAGAAACATTCTCATAGATACAGAGAACATTTTGTTGGTTGCCAGATGGGAGGGAGGTTGGGGGAATGGGTGAAAAAGGTGAAGGGAGCCCTGGCCAGTTTGGCTCAGCGGTTAGAGCGTCAGCCTGCGGTCCGGAGAGACCCAGGTTCGGTTCCCGCTAAGGGCATGTACTTCGGTTGCAGTTTGTCCCCGGCCCTGGTTGGTCGTGCGGGTGGCAGCCACTCGATGTGTCCCTTCACGTCGATGTTTCTCTCTCTCTCTCTCCCTTCCTCTCTCTCCCTCCCACTCTATCTGTACAAAAAATGGAAAAATATCCTCGGGTGAGGATAAAAAAATAAAAAATAAAAAAAAATAAAATAAAAAAAAAAAGAAAAAGGTGAAGGGATTAAGAAGTACAAATTCATTGCTAGACTGACAAACTTCAAAGGGAAAGGGGTTGGGGGGGTGGGAAGAAATAAACCAAAGAACTTATATGCATAACCAATGGACACAGACAATAGTGTGGGAAAAAGCGGGAGGGGGGCAGGAGGGGGGCAGGAGTGGGGAGGAGGGGGTCAATGGTTGAAAAATAAGGAACATCTGTAACACATTCTACATTCAACAATAAAGATTTAAAAAAATAAAATAAAATAAATAAAAATCAATTAAGACATAAAAAAAAAGAATATATTCTGCTCTGGGTAATAAAAACAAAACCTTTTTCTGGTTGCTATTGTACTCTATTTTTCAATTTTTCATAATAAGCCTACATTAATTTTAGAATTGGGGAAAATCTTTTCAAACAGAAAAACATATACAGGTAGCAATAAGACTCTATGTAGTTCTGGTTCACAAAAATATCTGTTGACAGGATTTTGAAGTTTTTACAAATGTGACATCGGTACACTTGCTTCTTTGGTAGACAAGTTCCACACAACCAAAACACAAACCTATTTTGAAACTCCTAAACTTTTATATTAATATTAATGTAGTAGTGAAGAGAACAAAACTTGCTTCTATAAACATTCTAGTCTTTGAGAAAGGATAATGAAAGGAATTCCATATGGTGATGGACTAGTAATGCCCTCATCACCAGTAATGCTCTGTAATTGTACAAAAATGTAAGAAAACATTATAAGAAACAAATTTGGTGTGTATTCCAGTATGAATATTTGAATTATTATAAGTATTTTGTGGAAAATGTTTCAAATTAAAATATAATGAGAAAGCAATAAAATCTATCATTGTATTCCATTCCATCAGAAAATAAAATTGAAACTTTTATTACATGTAATGAATATTGGTCAAATAACTTAACCTCACCAAACCCGTTTTCTCATCTGTAAAATGATGATCCTACCATGCCTATTCAAAGGGTTACGGCAATCAAACACAGTAATTAATTTCAATGGGCAAAACACCTGCAGGTCTACTTGGCTAGAGGCAGAGAGAAGGAAGTACCAAGTTCAATGCCCAACCATAGCAGGCATTCATGGCATACTGAATATGGGAAGCTTCATTTGATCAACGGGAAAAAACAAACTAGTCTTAGAAGATGTCTACCATGATGTAATGAAATAATGTAAGAAAACAGAAGCTCTTTCTAATGAACAGACACAAAAACTTTAAATACTTATACTAAATAACAGTCATGACAACAGAGTAACTCCTATAGCAGCGATTTTCAACTGGTGTGTTGCAAGAAATTTTAAAATACGTGATACCCAACTATCTATTCAGGGGCACTATATCTTTCCCCTTAGATTGTCAAATTAAAAAGACAACAGCCAACACAATAGCGGTCCACTGTGAATAAATCAAAATTATACCTTTTATTTTTTTTGGTCAGATCAGCAAAAATATTATTTTTTGGCAGGCTGCAAAATTTTAGTTATTAGTTTATATGTGTCACAAGATGAAAAAAAAGATGAAAATCACTGTCCTAGAGCAACGGTTTCAAGAGGCAGTCACATTCACTTAAAAATACTGCAAGGCATTATGTATGATCTACAACTATTTAGGTACATAGATGAAATACATGAAAAAATACAACAGTGAAAACAGATGGGTCAGAATGATTTGTGTACCTACTCCATGAACAGTCATTCTTACCTGTCTCAGCTCACAAACACAGGGTGACTTAGGAATGAGACACTCCAGTTTACCAACCAACCAGCCAAGCCACGCCAAATCAACCTAGCAGTCAGTAGGGCTAGGAGCCAGAAAGTTCTCATGTCTACAACACTGAATTCTGGCTTTAAAATTAAACAAGTAGCAGAAGAAAGAACCCTAAAATTTCAAAAAGCATCTTACCAGGGTGATGTCTCGAGAGGCTGCAGCTGCGCTCATGTGCAAACTGGGCTGCCGTACAGAACTGCTGCAATCAAGGGCTCGAGCGAATGTCCCAACAGCACTAAATAAACCACAACGACAAAGAGGAGAAATCAAGGCTCTGTTATTTTTTATATTTAAAGAAACACATTTTGCTAGTGAATGAAAATCTGTGAAAGAAAAATCAACTTCCTGGATGTTTGAAAATCAAGTACCAAATAAAAAGTATTTTCTATAAGATGTAAGAATTGACAAGCCAATTTACCATATATGAGTCATTACAATTAAATTAAGAAGTAGGTTGTGAGGCATAAAGAAGGGAAAGATCTATTTTGAAATGCCATGGAGTAAACAATTTGGTATTCAAATGTGCTCCAAAATGAGAAGTAAATTAGCTAGTTTAACTATTACTGCAAAGCAAGTTCTGACCCTTTTTTTTTTTAGCCCAAATTGTGAAATCCCAGTATCATTTTTTTCCTTGAAATATAGTCAACTTCTTCCTATGAGGCCTCAATATATAACAGACTGCCATTTTTAAAAATTAGCAAACACTAACTTCAAGAGATAAAACATGAAACAAAGATGATTTGCTACTTGTCTATCTTGTAAATGTATTAGGTAAGAAAAAGCTTTTTTAAATGTTGTAATTAAAATATAACACATGTGCAGAAAAATATACATTGTACAGCTATGTAGTAATGGCAAAGTGAATGCACACATGTCACCAACATCCAGGTCAAGAAACAGAAGGTGACAGCACCCTAGAAGACTCCTTGTGCTCCTTCCCAAATCACTACTCCTTCCCTCTTCCTCCAAATGAACCACCATCCTGTATTCTAACACCATAGGTTCCTTTTGCTCATTTGGGAACTTAAATAGCATAACACACTATCTTTTCATGTCCATCTTTCTGTTGTTCAAAATTGTTTGTGGATTCACACATGCTGCTTGCCGTAGCTGTATTCATTCACGCACCTTGCTATGGAGCATCCTCTTCAGGATTCCCCACCCCACTCTACTGCTGACGGATATTTGTTTCCAGTTTGGGGCTACTATGGGCACCCATCTGCATGTGTGTCTTCTGGTGCACTAGTTTGTGCATGCACTTCTGTTGGGTGTATTTAGGAGTGAAACTTAAAGTATGTGTATGTTAGATGATAGCAAACAGCTTACCAAAGCATCTATACAACTCGCACTCCCACCAGCAGGATGTGAGTGCTAGTTGCTCCACCTCTTCACCAAATGTTTGGCACTGTGGGTTTTTACATTTTAAACATTGTGGTGGAATGTGCAGTGGTATTTGATTGTGGTCTTAATTTACATTTACATTTTTTAAAACAAAAATTTAAAAAGACACTAGGAGCAACCCTGGCCAGTTTGGCTCAGAGGTTAGAGCATCGGCCCAAGGACTCAAGAGTTGCGGGTTCGATTCCAGTCAAGGGCACATTCCTCGGCTGCGGTTTGGTCCCCGGCCCTGGTCAGGGTTGTGCAGGAATAAACCAATTGATGTGTCTCTCTCACATCTCTCTCTCTCTCTCTCTCTCTCTCTCTCTCTCTACCTCCCACTCTGAACAAAAAAAAAAAGACAGTAAGTGCATCTCTTTGGTATCTCTCCTCTGGCTTCAAGATAAAAGGAAACACATGACCCTTGGTAATCGAGGGAAAAAGAGAACAATAATCAAATCTAAAATGGTAATATCTACTAAATAATTCAAAATCTGGTAACCTGTATGAGTCTCGAGGCCAATAATTCAACTCTACTCCCAATTCTTCAATCTCTATTCCACTGACTGGCTCCTCCCTAACAATCTGTTCATCTAATCCAGGAGTGGGGAACATCCAGTTCACGGCCATATAAGGCCCGAGAAATTTATACCAGCTAACATCAGATGCCTCACCAAATTAGCTTAACCAAATATAACAAGCTCATTTTTAAGATGATAATTTTGTATGGCCCTTGAATGATGTTATAAACATCAAAAAGGCCCTTGGCAGAAAAAAGCTTCCCCACCCCTGAACTTGGTGGCTAGGTATGTGGGCTTCTGGAATCTGAATGCCTGGCCACCAATACGATGTGTGACGTCCATGGTGGATGGCACTATGACCAGTATCCTCTAAGGATAAGACTCTTTTTACATTGAATTATGAAAAAGTTCAACAGAAAATTAGAGAATACAGTGATGAAGACCCTTGTAATCATGTCCAGATCTACCTGATTCTAATATTTTACCAAGTTTTATTTTTTTAAGGAAATAAATATTATGTTTTGTTAGAGTCCCCTATATACAGTCTTAGAACTCATACATACACATAGCATGCATATGCATACATATGTGCCCATTAATAGGAAATTGCTTCCATAGTGTTTTTTTTTTTCCTTTATTGATGTTAGAGAGAGAGAGGAAGAGAGAGGAAGATAGAAATATCGATGAGAGAGAACACTGATTGGCCACCCTCCTGCATGTCCCCCACTAGGGATGGGGCCCATAACCGGGCATGGGACCTGACCGGGAATTGAACTGGCGACCTCCTGGTGGATGGGTCTATGCTCAACCACTGAGCCACACCGGCTGGGCGCATATTTTAAGTTCTTATAAGTGATCATATTGTATGTATCCTCACTCAACATTATTATTATAATTTTTAATATTTGCTCAAGGACATGCTTAGAAAGAGGGACGGAGGGAGAGATGAAGAGAGGGAGGGAGGGAGACATAGGGGAAGGGGTAGAGAGAAACATTGATCAGTTGCCTTCCAGATGCTCCCCAACTGGGGATCAAACCACAATCAAACTGGCAATCTTTTGGTGCACTGGATGACACTTAACCAACTGAGTGACTCCGGCTGGGCTCATTATTTTTCAGATTTCTCTTTGCTACATATAGCTCTAATTCATTCATTTCAATTGTTATAAAGTAATATTCCATGATTATTAGTGCTTGTTGATGCATTTTCAAATTTTTTCCAATTTTTCTATTACAATGCTATGATAATCTCATTTCCCTTCTGCCTTGCAGCAATTGCCCCACAAACACCATTTACTTGTTTTTGTTTGTTTTGTTTTGTTTTTTATCCCATTTACTTTTATAAGTAAAAAATAAACTTCTCTTCCATTCATTTTATCAAGAAAAGAGGAAGAGAGGTCAGGCCAAGAGGAAGCAAGCCAGTCCGGCGGCCTGGCTTCGAGCTCTCAGAGAAAAGCCCCCCCTCGCAGCAGACCTTCTTCGGGCATGTGTGCGGTAGGAGGACTGCGAGGCGCGTATTCTTACTGACACATAAACAGTCGCTGCTTTAATGAAAGATATGGGATTTTCGGTGTTGAATTTCCTCTTTATACTTTAATGCAGTTCTTACATTTTTACAAAGAGCATTTATTTTCTTAATCAGTAAAATTCAATAAATCTATTTCATTTTTAAAACAGAAACTAACGATAATATACCTTTTTACTTAGGAAGTGGTGTGATATATATTAGGCTTTCTTATACAACTAGAAAAAAATATAACCAATGAAAAATACAGAATACAAAGACAAGAAAACATGTATAAATTATCTTATAGAAAAAAAAATGTTTTTGACTCAATAGTGCCATACTCACCGTGCTACAACTAAAAACTGGTCAATCTGTCGATCTGTAAGTGGGCTATCTGGGTCCCAAACTTTAACTTCCAGTTTTGACTGTTCCCTCTCATCTGATTCTCCTTTCCAAGAACAAAGAAAATGGAGTCTTATTACTCACAAGGCACATACATTGTCACATATGACTGATGACACTGGTAACCACAGCATTAAAAATGTAAGGTAAATATTCGTGGTTTTGGTACATTCTTCCAAACAGCAGATATAGAACACTTTGTAAAGTGAACACTGATAAAAATGCAATCAAACTATATGGTGTTTTCATTTGTCATTAACATGTATTTCCTGAATACAAGTATGCATAAGGCACTAAGCCTAATGCTAAGAGGTATAAAGACAAAAAAGAAAGCACTCTTGCAGCAAGACCCTTTAACTATGATAAAACTTACACATGAAAAAAATAAATAAATAACAGATGCGGCTGTAAAGTTCCAAAGATCAGAGAAATCATTACAGGCTAGCTAGGGAGCGAGGCCATGAAGGAGGTGGCATTTCCGCTAAGAACTGAAAGGTGTAAGTCCACTGGCCGAAGAGCAGGCCCAAAGACTAAGAAATGAACATACACAAAGTCAAGGGCTTTCATGTGAAAGATAAGTAGTTCATTTCGTCAGGAGTACATTAAGGGGAATGAGAGGAGAGAGCTGAGAAAGTGGATTCTAAACATTTTACTGAAGGTGCCACATAGATTTTCTGAAAAGGGAGGTAATGAGAAGCCCCTGTCTCTTTAGTAGGGGAGTGAAAGACCAGAATGAGAATTCTCATGATATATAATTTGTTCTACGGACATGCCTGATGAAGACAGAGAGACATGGTACTGACAATGATGACAGAGAGGAAAGAGAGGTTTAGGAATGTCAGTGACAGACTGGAGGCAACGGGTAGATTTCAAGCCTTGAGAACTACAGGGATAGTGCTGGCATTAATAGGAATAAGACCTATGATAAGGCAGAACACTTCGTTTTAGGAATAGCTCACAAGGAAATATAACCACCAGGCAGGACTCAATGTGAGTACAAAGGATAGTAATGGAAAATAGATTTGGGAGTTGATGAAATTCTGATTTACAGCTATGGACTTCCTACCAGGCTAGGGACTGGTTTAGGCTTTTTTTCCTTTTGAATCACTCCGTCTATAATATCAGGCAGTGCCTTGCACTGACGGACATACTGTGAAGTTAAACATCCCTGACAAACCCAGGCTATGGGCATCTAATGTATTCACAGTTCTAGTATAGGAGCAGGCAGGTACCAATGGCTCAAACAGAGAAAGAGGAAGGGCAGAATTAGCCATTCCACCTGTAGTCTCCTCCCTAAGTCAGCCACTGCTGTCAGGTGGGGGACTTGCCCATCCCGCCCCTTGTTCAAAGGCAGGTAACCAAAGAGATCTCAAGTGTTGGAAAGGATTTCATTTTTCATTGTTTAAAATTCTCAGCATGCTGAGCCAAGACACTCAACATTAGGTTCATAGTTAAAAAAACAAAAAATTTGCAAACTGTGTGAAATTTAAGAAAGGTGAATGTTATATTTATGCTTCCCTGTACTGTCATATAATACATTTTAAGTAAGATAAATAGTAATAGTAAAAGAGATAGTAATGATGAAAATAAAAATTTGAGATCTTAATTAAGCCCCTCTCTGTTATATACTCAGAATGTAAAGGTTGAACTGATATTTACTTTTCAAATTATAGTAAAAATGGTATTTCAATCCCACCCGTCCATTCTGCAGCACACAGCAGAAGGAGAATTCCATTTAAGAATTCTAAATTAAAGTTGCTGCAAACAATAAAAATACACTCCTGGATGTACTAACACCTAAGATACAGATAATATCATAAAATGAGAACAAACATAGCAACAACAAAGAGAATAAATATAGAAATGTTTTATATCAAACATTCACCTTAAACTAAACAAGAATTCCTCATTTTGGATTCACCATATGATAATATTTATATAATAGTTTGATCACTTCTTTACAGTAAAAAAAAAAACACTTTTAAGAAGCTCTTGAATAAACTTATTTAGAATCTGTACAACTAAATTCTCAGCTAAACCAGCAGTAATCTTTAGAATGGGCTTGGTAACTGTGGTATGAGCCTGAGACTGGACCAAGACTGATTCCACGCTCTGCTCATGTTCATTCCAGTCACTGCAATAATCTCACTTACCTCCTCCACTTATGATAACCCTCAAATCCTACATCATTAAATAACCCAGCTCATAAAGATCTCCCTAATCTCTGAATTCTTACAAAATATATTTACCAACTAAATGCATGAATTGTGTATTAGCATCCCATTTTGATTCATATGTCCTTTATAATTTTGAAAAAATGTAGATTCAGCAATCATTTTAACTGTGTTAGTCTTCTAGCTGTATTTTAAGATTTCTAAAAAATATGGACAAAGTACTCTATGAGTGCATCATGTTCAAAGATTGTGCAGGACTAAAGCTGCATGACACAATCCTATAGGCCTTTTCCTGGACAACTGGAGATATTATTTGTTCTAAATACAATTGATTTTCTTTGCACCAACCACCAAAATACTATACTTTTTATGTTATAGTTAATTCAGAAATACACAAAGATATCATTTATCACCATTTTTGTTTAATATTGTTCTGAACTTTCTGGCCAATGTATTAAATTATGAAAAACAAATATAAAAACCTCAATAACATTCCAAACAAAGAAAATATATTTTTTAAAATATTACATTAGCCCGGCTAGTGTGGCTCAGTGGATTGAGCATTGTCCCGTAGACTGAGAAGTTCCAGTTCGATTCCCAGTCAGGGCACAAGCCTGGGTTGCAGGCTTGATCCCAAGCAGGAGGTAGCCAATCGATGTTTCTCTCTCTCCCCCCCTCCCTCTCTCTAAAAAAAACAATAAAAACATTTAAAAAATAAATAAATAAAACAAAATATCATATTAATTGTGGCAAAAATATAAAAGACTAAGAAATAAAGTTGAAGGTATGCTTACACAAAGAAATTGCATGCTAATAAGTGTAAATAAAGAATAAAGAAAATTTAAAATCTTAAGGATGTAATTTTTGTACAAGTAACTCAATAGGTTAAATTTAACAAATTTTAAGTCTTGGAAGCCAATGGAATGCTCCAAATATTAATCTTTACAAATAAAACATTATTATTAGGAAAGGAATAATAAGAGAAAGGATTAACTAAATGGAATGGGATTATATCATATAGAGAGCAATAGTAAACAAACAATGTTGTACTGGCACAAAAATAAACAGAATCAAAAGCACAGAAATAGACTAGATCAAAAAATAACTTATTTGAAAATATGTAAGTATTATTATAATTATGTAAATATTAACTTACATTTAGTTAGTACTTACTATGTCCCAAGAGCCCTTAAGAAAAGGGTTCTTCAACTTCAGCACCACTGACACTTTGGGCCAAATAACACTTTGTTGTGGAGAGCTGTCCTGTAGATTATAGGATGTTCAGCAGCCTCTCTGGCCTCTACTCACTAGATGCCAGTAGCATTTCCACCCCTACATCACCAATAGTGACAACCAAAAATGTCTATGGACACTGTCTAGTGTCCTCTGCAGAACAAAACTGACCCAGGTTGAGAATTACTGTTCTACATGGTTGTAATCAATACCTACTTACACTTACACTTCATTGTTACCGGCTGGTGTTTTTAATTTGATTAACATCCACCACATTGTTGAAAAGCACATTCTGCAAAATTACACACTAAAAAACAATAGGGTTTATGAAAAAATAGAACAAAACTTTGAAAACCTATAGGACGTGGTAAACGAGAGTACTCAAAAAAAGTAATAATCATAATAAAAATACTAACACAACTAAATCTCCACTGACATTTGTTTGCACCAAGCACAAAGGTCAGTCCATTCTTTATCCCCTTAAACCCTGAACTCATGCTTCCTCCACTGAGATATAGGTCATTGTGTACAGTTTCAACAGAATAATAAATAGAATTCAGGGTGCAGGTGTTTTTGAACACAGGGAAATATCTTCATAGCTCCGTCATCTGTAACTCCAAGCTTCCCCATATAGTTGTTTTGTTTTGTTTTCACTACGGTTTACTTTCAGTATTTTGAATTGGTTTCAGTTGTATAGCATATTGATTAGATATCCATATAGTTTTAACATAGTAGAACATGCCACAGATTTTGAGACCACTAGATCAGCCACAACTTGCACTAGAGGAAAGCCCTTCTACTATATGCTTTCCTGATTGCTGAAGAAAGTCTCAGATGAACTGACCCAACATTCACACTATAATGCCATTCTCCTATTTACCAACTGCATATGAGCTAATTCAATTTTTTTTTGTTTTTTTTTATCCTCACCTGAGGACATTTTTCCATTTTTTGTTCAGATAGAGTGGGAGGGAGAGAGAGGAAGAGAGAGAGAGAGAAACATCGATGTGAAGGGACACATCGAGTGGCTGCCACCCGCACGACCAACCAGGGCCGGGGACAAACTGCAAGCAAGGTACGTGCCCTTAGTGGGAACCGAACCCGGGTCTCTCTGTACCGCAGGCCGACGCTGCAACCGCTGAGCCAAACCGGCCAGGGCCTAATTCAAGGTTTTTTTTTATCCTCACCCGAGGACATTTTTCCATTTTTTGTTCAGATAGAGTGGGAGGGAGAGAGAGGAAGAGAGAGAGAGAGAAACATCGATGTGAAGGGACACATCGAGTGGCTGCCACCCGCACAACCAACCAGGGCCGGGGACAAAATGCAACCGAGGTACGTGCCCTTAGCGGGAACCGAACCCGGGTCTCTCTGTACCGCAGGCCGACGCTCCAACCGCTGAGCCAAACAGGCCAGGGCATCATTCCCTTTTTAAAAAGGAAGAAATGAGAACTTAGGGGGGTTAAATAGTTTTTCCAAGGTTATTCAGCTAAAACGTAGCACCACCAGGTTTTACCCAAACCTGTGAATCCAGTTGTTGTAGTTTAATAATTTATTTTTTATATTTTCATATCCTCACTCGAGGACTTTTTTTTTGCATTTAATTAATTTCAGATAGAGTGGGAGGGAGAGACGGAGGAAG